ACAGGCGACGGACCAACCGCCAGCTCAAGATCCGGCTACTCCAGGCTGAAGGTGGAGACTCTCCTGTACGGGTGCGCCTCATCATGGAGCCTAACAGCGGAGCACTACACGAAGCTCAATGGGACCCACCGCCAGTTCCTCACACGGTGCATCGGCTGGAGCAAGCGGAAACGCTCAGACCGCCCCCTGTCCTATGCCCAGGCCCTCATCCAGGCAGGCTGCGAGGAAACCATCGAGGCCACCGTGCGCAAACGGAGACTGTGTTTCGCGGGCTTCGTTATGCGCATGGAGGACAGCCGCCTCCCCAAGTGCATGCCGTTAGAAGCGATGGCAGGGGGCGTGGGATACCGTGGCGGGCAGGAGAGCGACTGGGTGTCTCGTCTAGGAGAGGACCTCGTGGCCTTCAACATGGGAGACGAAAAGGAAGGGGGGAAATGGAAAGAGAGCGCCAAGAACTCGGAGGTGTGGTACAACAAGGTCGAGGACGGGGCGGCATGGTTCATGAGGAAATGGCACAGGCAGGAAGCAGAAGCGTCCGCGAAGCGCCAGCGCGCGAGGGAAACAGAAGCAGAGAGTACGACCATCTCAGGACCGAAGCGAAAGAGAACCGGGGAAGCGGCGGTGGGGGGAAGAAACGGCGACCGGGCACTGCTGTAGAAGCGAGTAGGGCGGCCGAGGCAGCACTTGTGGCGAACTATGTACCCGGCTGATATTGTTGTGCCCGGTTTCCCTCCCTGCTGTATGCTATACTCCTTTATATATGTCCTTTGTATTGCCTTCGGCCTCTGTGCTGTGTTTCTCTATTTTTCATGACCTCCCTGCCTACTCTGCTGTGTTGGGTACCTTGATCTTGCTTTTTCTGTTGCCTTTGTTTTTGTACGTCTGGCTGTCTGCCCATCTGCCGCCCCTTTGTCCTGTTTGCTCCTTTACTCCCATGCCCTGGTGCGTAGTGCCTGGTGCTGGTACGTTACCCTTCGATTTTTTCTTTGGGCGGGTGTGGGAAGCGTCCTCCTTTATTTTTGTTTTTGTTTTATTTTGATCGGTTTCCGAGGGCTCTGTTCTCGAACGGTCGGTGCGATACCTGTTCTTTTCTTTCTATCATTTTGTTTTTTTGTTCCGAGTGGTTTGTACCCTATTTTTGTTTTGTTTCCCCGCGGCGTTGTATGTGCCGGGTGTTGAGACCACGGGCTGCCCATTTTTTGTGGACTAAAGGGCTTATGTGAGAAACAACAACAAAAACGACAATCCGCAGACCCTAAAAAAAGTCGGATACCAAAGCCTGCGAACCACCGTTCGGAACGACGACTGGATACCATCGCTGGGGCATTGGCTAGAGAAACCTACGGACGTCCCCCGAAGCGAGTGCTGTTCGGCGACATCACGGTGGACCCAGGCGGGGGGTGCCCGGAACACTGTCGGGCGAAATGTTTGAAGGAAGGTTTTAAGAATTTTGAGGCCACGGTCAAATCCACGGGCGACGGCAAAAGGACGCTCGGGACACCTCGTGCCTGCTGGACTCTCGTTTTCTAGACGAGGGTTCACGTGGTACAACGGGGTAATGCAGGAGGCGGAGAGGTTCATGGTAGAAATTCACGAGGAAGGAGGCCAGCAGGCTACACGCGCACAGAAACGGGCTAGGGTAAGAAAACCGCGACAACCGAGGGAACACGGGGGAAGGAACGTCGAAAGACCCAGTTAGAGGGCAAGAATGCAATTAATTGAGGAGAGCAGCACGGAGATTGTAGAACGGGTAGCGAAACTTATGCCGGACTGATGATGGAGGTGGCAGGCATACATCTCCCGCCAATAGTTTGCATCGCTTTCCCCCCTCCCTTTCCTTGTGTTTTTATTTTAGTATCTGTTTTAAAGTTGTTCCGTGGGAGCGATCCGAGAATCACCCGCACGACTCTTTTTGGATGGGCGTGTGCTGAGATATGCCTCGGCTGGTGCAACCCCAGCGGCCAATAGGCGCCCCCCCCCATATCTCTTCGATATCCTTTCGTGTTGGGGGGGCTCCTGTTTCTGTTTTTGTATTCCTTTTGGCCGGGTCCACTCGTCTCCGGGGCAGTAGCATGCCCTGCTTATCTAGAAAAAATTTTCTGGGTCCGGTCTACATGTGCCGTTTTTGACCTACCGAAAAGGCCTGTGACCACGGAAGGTGTCGTATCAGTTGGACCGTATTACGGATATAAGACGGCACTGACTTCCGGGCTCTCTCTGCCCTACATAGCGTGTACTGTATATATTGGGGAGCGGAGGACTCCAGAATATCTGTCGGTGATTCAGTTGGCTTACGGACCCTTCGGGCCAACATACTTTGAGAACAGCGTACCTCTTTAGGGTAAAGTTTTTCGGGAGAGTTAGTCTATAGCCTGACCACGGGAATCGACCGGTAAGTGTTTGATCTGTACGGATGGATGAAGGTACTGGATAATAGAGAGAACGAACGGTTTTTAATGTGAAGACAACAACAACAACAACAACAACAACAACAACAACAACAACAACAACAACAACAACAACAACAACAACAACAACAACAACAACAACAATAACAACGGACAACTGAGGGAGGCCGGGACGGTTTCAACATTCCCACATACCCTCAGGTGTACTCGATAAAATTAGACTCGGGTTCGAATCCCAGCAGGATCACTTTTCTTTGCGTAAAATCACCATTCCAAACAGTCGACGTTGACTGGTCAGATGGTCTAATTTTACCGAATACATATAAGGTGACACACGAAACATGCACCAAAACGTGCAAGTCCGCGGACAATCATGGCCTTAAGGTACTTACTTTCAACATGCATTATCCACGACTAATCCCATCCGTCTAATCTTCTCCCTTCTTCCCCTCGCTCCTCGACAAGCTTTTGCTTAGACATGGGTTGTAGTGAAGGGGGGGGGTCTTTCTGGCGAGCAGGGCTAGACTCACCCTCAAGGGATGACCGAAACCTTCTTGCTGCTGCGCATATCCGCCGCGAGGCATGCGCGTGGTGGTGTAGTTGGGTCGGCACTGATGGGGTCAGGCGAAAAAATGTAGATGCGCGGGCCTCTGGCCGTCGGCGTAGGCAGCGATGCCCATCTCATTTTTTGTGCGCGGAGG